AATAGTGTATATCTTCATCAGAAAAGACATGGGAAGAGGCTGATATTCCTTGGTACAGAAAGCCATGCAGGTGGGAGATTTCCCTTCTAACTTCGCTACAAATCATTAAGCATGGAACTCTGGCTAGTGGTCAGGATCAATAGGTACCAAGCCAAAAAGCCTTGATTTTTTTGATAAGCTGATCACTTGTGGATGTGTTGCTTACTGACCTATATGAGGTGCGGGCGTGAGGGGTAGCCTAAGGGAACAAAAGGGAGAGAAAATCAGAGCTGACAGATTCAGAAATGTCCAGGCCTCCTCTGGTCAAAGAGAGGCAGACTTGCCTCATTTGCATATCATTTAAATAGCACTGATTTCATATCAGAATATGAGGTCTTTTCCCCACTGCTATGCTAATCCAGCTAGGGAAAGAAACTTCAGGTCTGAGGCCCAAGCACTGCTAGAAAGAGATGTCCTGGAAGTGGGGTCTGGTCTAGCTCTGTGTTGGGCACTCACTCACTGTGGGTAAAGTTTTGTCTTCCCCTGGAAGGCCCATAAGAGCAGAGTATCCTAGGGCCACCTGGGTGGCTCAGTCGTTAAGTGTCTGCCTTCGGCTCAGGTCATGATCCCAAGGTCCTGGGATCGAGTCCCGCATCGGGCTCCCTGCTCCGTAGGAAGCCTGCTTCTCCCTCTCCCATTCCCCCTGCTTGAGCTCCCTTTCTCGCTGTGTCTCTCTCTGTCAAATAAATAAATAAAATCTTAAAAAAAAAAGAGCAGAGTATCCTAAGCACCAAGTGCAAAAATATTTTTTGAATAAATGAGTTTTTCCTGAACAAGTGACAGTGACTTTGGGACAATTACTTTGCCTTCCTGGGCGTTGGGGAGAAGATGTGGGATGTAAGTCTGACTAATGGTTTTGACTTTTGGGGCCCTGGGCAGCTGTGGACACTGTCCATGGAAAAATGACCACAGCACAATGTGTCATACAATTCTGGGAGTTTTCTAGACCTTCTGAAGTCAGTTCGTGTATCTCTTAGCCCAGATTGGGAACCCCTGGACCAGAAGAGGTTGAAAATCCTTTGCCTTTTACATCTCAGATTCCTAAGCATCCTGGCCCACTTGGGTCTCTCAGGCATGGGAATCTAAGAGAGAAGATACATTCACTATATTTTTGGGGTTCCTACTATGTTCCAGGTGCTCATTTAATCCTCACAGATAAGGTAGGTATCATGGTTCCTTTTATAGAGATGAAGAACCTGAGGCTCAAAGAGAGTGAAATGGTTTCCTCGGAGCTGGGATTCAAACCCAAGCCTCTGGCTCCAGGATGACGTGGGCTCGCACCCCACCCGATTAAGTGCCTCTCTTCATTGGGAGGCACCAGCTGGGCAAAGCCCAGAGCCCCAGCCTTTGTGGTGCACTGTGCACAGGGCAGGCGCCCCAGGCCAGGCAGGGAAGGGTCCAGCATGCTCAAGTCTACACTTGAACTAGCGGAGCCATCCCTGCCACAAATGGAAAAAGGAAGGGGGACCCTGGTGTTGCAGCTTCCACACATGCCCACTCCCTTTCACTTCTCCCATTGACATATCTACCTAACAAAATCTAAATGGCCGGAGTCAGACAAAACTCTCTCCAGCTCCCATCCGCCCCCCCCTTTAAAAGCAGGAGTTCTATGTCTCGCAGAAGAAAGTGGCAGGAGGGACCGGACCTTGGGAGCCCGATTCAGTTTCCCATTTCTTTGGGGGCCAGGGGACCTATTAGGCACTATCAGTCTGCTTGGGGCTGTTCTGATGGGTCTAGAGCTCTTCTGGGTACTTCCCAGTTCCCGCTCCATGCCGGAAGAAATGCCCACTGCAGCAGCTGCGGTCCCAAACAGCTCTCATCTCTTTATCACCCTCTCCCTTGTCACTGTAGGACCTGCTGCCCGGAAACAGCACCTTCTGCAGGTGAGATCAGGGTGGGGGGACCAGTTGCTTCAGTTGCTCGGTTTCTTAGAGGCAGAGTATGGCGGACCACGAAGGGGATATCATTAACAAGAGACTAAGGGCAGGGTGGAATGTGCTTGCTGGCGGCCGAGGGCAAGGACTTCTCTGTTGTCATACCCCACACCACGGCTATTTCTGAGCCATCTGAATGCTGGGGAGTCCAGCGAGGGACTAGATTAGCCCTCAGAAGAAATCAGACAGATGTGCCCCAGCAGTGTGTGTGTGTGTGTGTGTGTGTGTGTGTGAATATCAGAATCTTTTCCCAGAAGGTGCCACTGCGTCACTACATGGCTGCAGATCCAGGGCCCTGCTGGGGAGACAAAGATAGAAGGTCCTCCTCACTTGAGTGCTGAGAGTATGGTTGATCCAGACCCCTGGGCACCAGCAGGAATGGGCAGAGGTGGGTGCAACTGGAGTTAAATGAGTCCCAGGGGTCTGACTGCCTTTGGTCTTTAAACCAGGTCCCCCCTTCCCCACACATCTCCCCAGCTCCACGGAAGATGCAAGAAGCACTGATCTAATGTGGGATGGGAGCTCAGACTCACTCACCCATTGTCCCAACCACATTCTCTGCTTCGTGTGCACTGGGCCCTCGGGCAAGGGCGGGTGGGCACAGGGCCAAGGTGGCCCCAGGTGCAACCAGGGGAGCCCTCTCCCATCCTGCCCTGGTCTCTGGCTGGGCCCTCCCAGCCGCAGAAACTGGAGTGAGGGTGAGGTGAGCTCAGGTGCACGTTGTAGGGACGATAATCCAGTCAAGCAAGCAAGAAGGTGGAGACCATCTGTGTCTGTCAAAAATTTTATTTCTTCATTTCACACAGAATGATGTTAAAATAAATCCTCAGTAATATATATATTTATATACCTATTTACTTGTGTTGATATTTACAAAAAACTGTAGAGCTCTATGAAGTCTATGTACACCCATGATCAGGTGGACAGGCGATGTTCATTGAGGCATGTATGTACACACATATGTATAACCTATGTACAAATATCAGACCCTACTGACACAGGAACTCTGAGCTGCAGAAGTCCTGGGTGGGGCAGTGTTGGTGGGGCCAAAAGCTTCCAGAATATGTCAGCAAGAATGATAATACCTACACATCCTGTGCAATGCACTTACAGCTGGTGTCTCAATTTTCACGGAGCAAACAAATAGTTAAATGCCTCCCCGACTCCCATGAGTCTTCCCCCGCAAGTCCTGCTCCGCCTTCAGCTCCCATTGGTCTCCAGCCTCTTATCACCATGGAGACCACGGTTCCCTCTCGGCATCATCCTTACGAAGCTTTACCATCAGCCTTGGAGTTCCTTCTCCTATTGATCCCAGGGAGGCTTATTTATCTGTCTCAGCTTTTCAAGTTTTCAGCAATTATTAGAGACAGGACACGGGAGGGCAGCTGCGGAGTCATGCATGGGCAGCAAGGAAGCCGGTGCAAGCCCTAATTAGAGTCTGTGCTGCATGAGCCTAAGTGAGCGGCCATTCCCACATTTTATATATATGTGTCAGCACATAAGCACACAGGTCTAGAGAAGAAAACAGCATCCCGCACTCATGAGCTTTATAGGTGCGTCCCTGCTGAAAAGTGGAGAATCCTCTTTGATGGCTGGCACCATTAATTCCGACTGTTCCAAGATTACCCTTAGTGGAGAGAGGGGTGCAGGGATGCAGAAACCCAGGCAGAGGCCAATTTGGCCAGGGCACTGTTTGCTCATCAGGCTGGAGCTCGATCATGGGACTTTCCAGCTTCCTGGGGCCCTTCAAATGAGGGAATCATCCAAGCACGACAACAAAAGGAAACTGGGTCGCCGGATCCCACGTGAAGGCGGAACTGGGGCAAGCACAGAGCATGTTCAGACCCTCTGGAGCTGACACTCACCCTCGCCAACACCAGCTGGGACACTCTTGCTCTTCTCCCCCATGTCCTAACCTGCAGCTCTTTGCTCCTTTCTAGCCCTACCTGGCAGGGCACGGTCCTTGCCCTGCACTTCACAAGTGAAAAAGACAGTTATGTCAGCAGCCGATGTGGAAAGTGCATGGTAGCAAAGTGGGCCCCTGAATATTCCCTTCCTCCCAGCCCTACCTCTCGCTCTCTCCAGCAGCCTTTGTACAAACAAGGCAGCCAGTGTCCAGGGAATCCTTTTTAGGGAGAAGCAGGGCTTCCGAGCCTCTCCCGAGGGCTGAGAAGAGACACAGGACTGAGTCCTCTGGGTAGCTACCGAAGGTCCAACACATAGCCGCACCTACACTGCCCTCAATTATTTAGATGATGCAGCAGCTGTCCACATTATTATGTAACCACACCTGCCCCGTGCATCCGTCACTGGAATGATGCAGGGAGTTCTCAGCTGCAAACTCATCTGGAACATATCGGACTATTTTAGGAGTGCAAAGGAGCAAAGAGTCATATCTGTTTCCACGCCGAGGTTCATGCAGTGTAAGAAGCGGTCATCCAGACAGGCTGCCTCGGCTGCCCCAGTTTGCCCGCTGGTCACGCTAAGTCTGGGTGATGGGCTTCTCCCACTGGGTCATAGCCAGATTGGCAAGATTGGAGGGCTGCCGCGGGTGGTGGGAGGTGGCAGGCACCCTTGCATGCCCCAATTACCCCGGAGAGCAGTGAGGAATCCCTCCCACCCTCGTCCAGGTAGACTGCGCACAGTCACATGTAGGACATGAGGTTGGAGCTTTCTCCCATGGGTCTAACATGCTGCTGGGCAGATGGAGAGTGAGAGCGTGGTTCAGCTCAGAGCTAGCTGTTTCTCCAAAGAGGCCAGGGACTTATAGCTGCTCTCCTGCCCAGACCTGCAAGCTACATTCGGTCAGGACAACAACAGGGTGGGTTTGTTGCTTCCGTTGGTCATCACACATCTCGCCTTCCACAGGGCAGAGGTGTTCTTTAGTTCTTCATCAAAAATGTTATGTGTAGATCTCCTGAAATTCAAGTCTAGGACACCACCCATGAGAAAGCCTAACAGAACAGTCCTGGACCACGCGATGTCCTTGAGCTTCAGTCCCCCCATCCCTCCCACCCCACCCCCCAATCCAAAAGTTTGGAATAACTTTTTTTGGCTTCAGTGATGAGGTTACAGCCAACCAGGGCAGACAGAACAAAGGATAAAGCACCTGGCCCTTAGATCAGACTTCCCTTTTATCCCTGAGTCAGGCAGCCACCTGGGAGGGAGAGGAGAGAGGTAATCCTGGAGCCCGATCGTTTGTTATGAAAGAATTGCCTTCTAGAGAGGTTCCCACATAGCAGTAAGAGAGCTGAACTGGAGAAGTGGTTAAGAATGCAAAGGGATGGCATTTAAAAATTCAAATAAATGCAGTTTATTCCTCGGATTGCCAAATTTATTCCACATTAGTGAAGCTAAGGGGGTCGGTCAGTGTATAATTTTTGAAACAACGGTATACATATATACATATACTATACATATATATATATATACACAGATATATGTATATATGGAAAACTTCTGATAACACAGGACCAACGAACCCAAACCTCAATTAACGCAAGCATTACGTTTTCTTACTATACTTTCCATAGAAAGAGGCAAATGACAGCAAGGGCATTATCTGGTGAGCCAGGACGTGCCCAAATGGCCAACTTCCGGTATGCCTTGCGGCCGGTGTACATTCAGCCTATCTCTTTGGTCTCCTCCGTCTGCACTTTCATATGATGAGCGCTGAGGTTTACAGTGTTGACCCTGAGCAATGCAAGGTCTTCTGTCATCTTCAAACACTCTACTTGCTAAGGCAGGAAAGTTTATACTAACCTACTTAGGAAATGGGTTGTTTTTTTTTTTTTCCGATAGCAAATATTGAACCCAGACAGGGTGTCCCATTCCCACTCAAACCACCATAATTGTAAAGCAATCAGGACTCTCCCTTCCCTGAGGATTTCCCCATCAGTTAACAGTTTTGCTGTACACACGTGTATAGAGCAAGGTAGATAGAGAAGGAATGGACTAGGACCCTGGGGTTGCCAGCCTTTCTTGATTGTCCAGTCTGAGTATCTAACCTTACAGATTTTTCTTCAGGAGAGGGGGATTCTTCTGAAACCCCCAGTAACGTGTGCAAATATTTGTGCAACTGCACACGGTAGTGGGGTGGTGGGGCTTTTGCTGCTCCAATGTCATGCCCTAACCACCCACTTTCCACCCCTGTAGACCTCTCCCCCCAGTAACTTGCTTCCCTCCACAGCTCTCATGGAGCTTATTTTGAAGGACAGCCAGAGGGCCCTTCCCCAAATCTGCCCAGGCTACCGATCCCAGGTATGAACCTCCAGGCCACATTCCCCCAGCATCCACCTCCCTGGGGGGGTGGGGGGGAGGGAAACAAATGGATCAAGTAATGGCTTTTAGTGCATGGAAGTGATCTGTAATGGCTCAGGATGCTTTATTCTTATCTATTGGTAAGTGCTTTCCTGCAGGGTTCCATTACACCCTGCCAGATTGACTGAGAGTCAACGAGATGGGCTGGCGTGAGGTCACCCAAACTCAAGGTTGCAGGGCCTACAGGTTGTGAGAATGCCCTGGCAGACAGGGGTAGGCGGGAGGGAGAGAGGGACTGAGGTGCACACAGGGACAGAGAGCCGTGCACGTGGGAAAGAGAGCGACAAAGAAAGCCTTCTCTCGGACCTTCCTCGTGTATGTGTGTGTGCGTTGCACCTCTGCAGAGGTTTACCTTCCCAAGGAGGGTCAGAGCCCCTGAGGACAGGGGTCGTGTGAACACGCGGGAAGAAGAGGGAGCCACAGACAGAGAGCTAATGCCCTGAAGCCAAGGGCATTATCTGATAATCCAGGTACTATCACTTTTCAGTCCTGAGAACATGGTTTTGAAGTAGCTATTGCTAAAGAAAACAGTCACTATTTAGTTTATTGCACGTTTCCTCGTTAAAAATACTCAAACACAAACTAGGAGAGATGGAGTTGAGCTTTGGTGGGAAGGGAAGCAGAAAGAAGAGAAAAGTGAACTAGATCGGTTTGAGGAAGAGACCCATCCCAGCTTGTAGAGGATCCTTCCCCTCCCCCTAACCCTGCTTGCTGCTTTGATGAGGAAACGGGGCTGGTCTCAACAAGGGCGGACTCTGAAGATACAGATGATGGTCCTGCTAGCCATGTGGACACCTCCCAGCATCCAGCACCCTGCTAGCTGGCTCAGGTGGCTAACGATGTTAGAGGTTAAGGTCATGCGTTCAAACCTGGCAATGGACACTTTGCCGAGGCTGGGGGACCTCCGCTGTGTAGCCAAGGAGCAGCCCAGGCATTACAGCCTATGTGGACCAGCCTCTCAGACCAGGCAGCCATCACCCACATGGAGGTTGTTACGATAATGGCCCCCAGGAGAGCCAGAGCTGGAGCAGAGCTCACCATCCTCACTCCTGGGTAAACCATTCAAAGCCCCGTGCTCCTCCTGCCTGCCGTGGGACTATGGTGCCACCCTCACATGCAATTTGCAAACTGTCCTACCATCTCCTTTGGGGAAAAGTCAGCCTCCACCTCTTCTTTCCTCCCCTACTATGGGCCGCACTAAACCCCCAGCCTGAGACTCTTCAGAGGGCACTCCCTCTCTCAACATGGGTTAGCATTGGTATTTTAGGCAGACTCTGAGGAAGTAAGTTGGCCAAGGTCCTCACTATGAAGGAGTGAGAGATCCAGGGACAGCAGATGGGACAAGCCAGTCCTGCAAGCCTCCCCACCTGAGACAGCCACATGAGCACTCAGGCCAACAAAGCTCTCATGGAGTCCTTTCCACATCCAGCCAATGGAGTCCGGAGGCACACTCCCTGCAGGCTCCTTTCAAAAGGCTAACCTCCTGGTGACATGCCTATTCCATTCTCAGAAGCCCAGCTGAGAGGGACAGAGGGAAGCAGAGAGGAAGGCAGACAGTGTGTCTGACACCATGGAAGCTTCAGGAAGCACAGAGCCTTAATTATGTCCTCAGCTAAGTTTCAGCTCCTGTAAAGTTTATGCTGCAATTGGACCCTCTCTTCCTGATCATCTCCCCACCTTTCCTGGACTTCTTTCTCTTTAGCCTCCTGAAAACTCTAACATAAATGAAAGTTTGAGCTCATGGCAACACCTGCTGAACCTGAAGGGAAAATTGCTCCCTGGACTTGGGAGTGCGCGAAAGGCCCGGCGTCTTGCCCTGAACGTGCACACTGGACCCCACACGTCCTTCTCTGCTGCTGGTGCTTCCTCTGTGGAGACTGGGAGCTGTGGCCATCGTTAGGAGGGACATACCCGGGAGGGCCACAGGAGTAAAGACAGACATGCCTGAGCCAATGCCTGACTTCAATTCTCAATTTCCTTCTGAGGTGACGCCTTGGCCAACAAGCACCCAGCTACCAGTGGGAAGAAGCAGCTCTGTGCGCCATTCAAAGAGGAATCTTATGAAGCATTTAAATCTGGCCTTAGAATACAGGATAAAAATCAGGCCTTCTAAAAAATTGTTGCTTGCTTGTGTGGCATTATGTTCCCGTCCTCAATCGTGATTTTCGTAAGCTGAATTAGTGAGCGTTTCCTCAAGGCGCAGCAAATTGGATGGGAGGCAGGGCATCCAGGTGGAGACCCGGCAAAGGAGTGGAGCATGCCTGGGATTGGATCCCCATAAAGGGGACTCAGGAGTTGACCCCACTGGGCTTATGCCCAAGAGCAAGTGAGATGCCACAAGCAAGGAAAGGGGGCTCATTTTAAGAGACAAGTTTACGTGTGGTCTTGACTTTTTCTGACCCGCCCCTGACAAAGCCATTGAGGATGGAAGGGCAGTGAAGTCTGAGGACTGACAGAATGTTGGGGGCATCTTCACTCTGGTTTTGGGCTCAGGACCCTGCAGTTTCTTGAGCCATCACTGCTTTGAAGAGAACGGAGCTGAATCTAGAGATCCCGGGGTTGGGAGCAGGGGAGCCTGGGCAAGGGGGTTGTCTATGTGGACTTGCTCCAAAGGCTAGGGCATGGCAAGGAGGTGTGTGTTAATAGGCTACAGGCTGTCCCAGGTCCTTCCACACTCACATTTCTCGTGGGAGGAAGGTGAATAAGTAGAAGCCCTATGAGATTCCCAGTCTTAATCCAAGATCTGCTTAACAATGGTGGTGGCTCATCTTTTTGCTTTAAACCTTGGGGGTTACTTCTCTGAAATCTGGAAGTGGGAGAAAGAGAAGAGCGTAGAGGAAGAGGCTTCTTGAAGGCTATTGGGGGAGTACAGATGCAGGCTAGGGAAAGGTGATGAAATCTCATCTTTTGTTTATGCCTACTGATTTATAGCTTTGGGGGCAGAGAGATAGAGCTGAGTATAGGTGTACCCTCCATGTGAATTATGTGTGTATGTGCTTGGGTGTGTGTGCTGTACGTTGTGTGCCTCATATGAGTAAATGCATTGTGTGTATAAACTGAGTTTGTGTGTATTTGGTGGGCAGAAACAATATAAAGTATCCTTGGTGTACTGTGTATACACACCCATTGTGTTCATGTGGTTTTTACGCATTTTGCATCTGAGTTGTGGTTGTGTCCTTGTATGTGGTATGCGTAGATCTTCTGTGTTACGTTCTGTATTGGTAAGCATGTTCTAGGTCTGTGCTGAATATGCCTATTTTGGATACAGGTGTAGTTACATATCATCTGTGTATGCCCTTTTCACTAATTGGCCTCTGTGCGTTTTGTATTTGCGTGGGTCGACAGTGTATCTATTTTGCGGTGGGCGTGTAGCATTGTGCCTGCACCTGTGGATATTTTATAGTCCCTGGTCAAGGCCCACGGGATAGGAGATCTCCCCTCTGACCGAGGCCTTGGGTATGGGTTGTTTTACCATCTGTTTCCCAAGGTCTGCGCCCTTCCCACCCCATGTCTTGGAAATTCAGCACCACCTCCCATGAAGGAGAGGAAGAGAAGCATAGAGGCTTCACGCTGGGCATGGGGCGTCCTGCAGATCCCTGGGGATGTGGGTGACCAGGAACTAGTGAGCACCCTGGGCCTAGCACCCTGAGCTGGTGCCCCACCCCCTAAGGTAACTGTAGGTGCTAAATAGCCAACAGTGAGGCTAGGGCTGGAGCCGAGGTTGGGCGACCTGACCACACTGTGTTTGGGAAATACAAGCTATTATGTCGAAAGGTGAGGAAGCCCAGTCTGGGAGGCGGAAGCTTCCCCACCGCAACCCATTCCAGGGCCAGCCTGAACTCCGCCCTTAGGCGAAGTGCTCATTCCCTCTCAATCTGTCCCAGGACAGGGAATGATTATTTAAGCAGCTCTGGTTGCCAGTGCAATGGGGAGAGAGTTTGAGCCGGGCCATCGAAATGATGCCATGGATCATCTAGCATCTCCATCCCTTGGCCCGGGACTTCTGGAGTTTCCACACTGAGGAAGCTCCCTTCAAGTCTAGACCTGTGGCACTGGGTCCCTGGTTTCAAGCAGGAGATCCATTCTGGCTCTTTACGGAAAGGGTCATTAAAGTGACTGATGCAGAGCCAAATGACAAGAAAAGCCAAAGAGGGTGGGCAAAGATGAGAAGGGAGATGATGAACATGATGGGCTGTAGAGAAGAGGCCTGGGGCGGGTGTGGCCCAGGGCAGCGGGAGCCGTGAGGGCCACAGGCCCTTGTGTACTCGGTGAGACAAGCTTCAGCCACGGGGAACTGAAGCTGCAGCACATGGAGGGCAGAGAGACAATTCTAACATCTAAGAATCCATGAAGACTGGAGTGTCTGAGGCAACGGCAGCAAACCCAGTCCCAGTGGGGTTATCAATGAGACAAACCAACCTATTAGGCTGCTCAGACAACCAACCACCAAGCAGTGGATTTGCTCCTGAACCTGAACTCCAGAGAATGAATATATATATATATATATATGTATGTATATATATGTATGTATATATATAAGTGTGTGTGCATGTGTGCATACATACATATACACACACATATGTATGTATGTATATAATACATAATATATACATACATACGCTAGTGCACGTAGTCAAACACATGCATAAATTGCCCTGTGTCAGAAATATTGCATAAGCTTATACAAGGTTCAAATGCAATTTCTTCTATAGCTAGGTAAGTAGAGGAACTTGTAAAAGAGATACTCAATATATACTTATATACACTGGATCCACAAATCTGCCTGTCCTCGGGACCAGGTGCCCTGGTCAGCTATAGAGTTATGCCCATGACTAAGTTCAATCGTAAGGTGCAGTTATGTGAGGTGTTCGGGGCGCTGCTTTCCCTGCTCCCTTTCCGGGCTTTGCAAGAGGTCTGTGCCCCGACGTGGAAGAACGGGGGGGATGGGGTGGGCTGGAGAGCCGGAAGTTGTGGTTCCCCGTTCCAAATAGTCTCTTCTTTTTTTTTTTTTTTTTTTTCCTTTCTCCTGAGGGCTTTTGTCCTTTGATGGGGAAAAAAAACCAAAACAAACCAAACAAACCCCTAGCTCCGTGCCACTCCGGGGCTATTGATACTCTAAATATGAATACTGTGTAGGCTACTAGGAAAATAGGTTATCTCCTGTGTTTTAACTACTGAGATTCATGCAACACACACCCATGCAGGTCTATTGCATCACTGGAAACTGCGCTGTGGTGTCAGGGCCACCAGCATCGCCCTGGGAAAGCAGGTGTCTGCAAACTCCAGCGTAACGCAGAAGTCGGGCGTGTTTTGTGACCCCGAAGCCTGCGAAAATGGCGAGGTCTGAAGCTGAGAGGTCCCTTGGTTCATTAGCTTCTCCCCATCGGCCTAAGGGCGAACGTGCTACTGGGCAACTCGCCTTCGGTCATCCTGACTGTCCCTCCCCCTGGGGTTCCCCCACATCCACACTGCAGAGAAAAACCAAAAGCAGCCTTTTCCGTTATGAAACACAAGCCTCCGGAGCACCTGCTAGGCAACTGCAATTCACACAAACTCCAGCCCGTGACACAGAAAGTAATTCCAATACGCAGGACCGTGTGTTCTTTTCAATGCAAAAATGGGAAATGACCTTTTGAATAACTCCCGGTGCTTTCAAGCTAAGCCACCACGGTTTTCCTCTGTGAAGGGGGAGGTGGGCTCATATGGGACCAGGGGCTTGGGGGCCCGGAGGCTTGGGAGCGGTGGGGTGCGTCTCCCCGGGTGTTGTGCGTGTTTAATTCGGGAGGGAAGGTGGTACAGATGGGGCGGGTTATGTATTTGATAGGAGGTGGCCCCAATGTGTCTTTCTGAAATTCTGGCTCCATAGATGACTCCCCTGTTTAGAACCCCCTAGGCCAGTGATGAAGATTTGCATGAAAGCCAGGGATAGATATTCTGTGTTCTAAATCAAAAATCAAAAGATCAAAAGTCACTTGCACTATTTGCGTTCCATGCAGAACCAGATACACACTGTAGAACACACTGACTACAATGCAGGCTATTTATGCAGTATCTGCAGTATTCCATGGAGCTGCGGGTAGGTTAATAGGTTTCAATCAGACATCAGTTAACATTTTGGTAATATTCACATAGTTTGTATTAGCCAAAGTGCAGTTGGCCGTTTTCAAGTTTTCCTCTCTAAAGTCCTCGTTACTGTTGTTTACCCCCTCCTGGATCTCCATGTAATCAGACTTACTAATGGTAGAGGCACTTCTACTTTTCTTCAGGTCAGGGGAGGATGGGATCTTTGGACAGCTCGTCACTTGCAGGTACTGGGCCTGCTCCTCTCCCTCTGTCTCCCGGTGGTAGAAGTAGTTGAAGTTGGACACTATGACAGGGACCGGTAAGGCAATGGTTAACACACCTGCGATTGCACATAGGGAACCCACGATCTTTCCCCCAATGGTAGTTGGAACCATGTCTCCATAGCCTACAGTTGTCATGGAGACGACTGCCCACCAGAAGGCATCCGGGATGCTGGGGAACTGGGACTCTCGCTCATCGGCCTCTGCGAAATAGACAGCACTAGAGAAAAGGATGACCCCGATGAAGAGGAAGAATATCAGGAGGCCCAATTCTCTCATGCTGGCTTTGAGGGTCTGACCTAGAATCTGGAGACCTTTGGAGTGTCTAGACAACTTGAAAATCCTAAAGACTCTTACCAACCGGATGACACGGAGGATGGCCAGCGACATGGCCTGCTGGCCCTGCTGGGCATCCTCTGGCTTCTCAGCCAGCTCCGTCCCCAGGGTGATGAAGTAGGGGATGATGGCCACGATGTCAATGATGTTCATGATGTTGGTGAAGAAGCCGGCTTTGCTGGGACAGGCAAAGAACCTCACCAAGAATTCGAACGAGAACCAGATGATGCAGAGGGTCTCTACAATGAAGAAAGGGTCAGTGAAGGAAGTCGACTGCTGGTACCCTATCGTGCTGTTGGAGTAGGTGTGGAAGGTCATCCCGCTGCCGTGCATGTCCTCGTTCTCATCCCGGAAGATGGGCAGGGTCTCCAGGCAGAAGCTGACGATCGAGATCAGGATCACCATGACAGATACGATAGCAATAATCCTGGCAGGCCCTGAGCTCTCTGGGTATTCAAAGAGAAGCCACACCTGCCTCTGAAACTCATTTTCAGGCAGAGGACGCTCTTCCTCTTTGATGTAGCCTTCGTCTTCCCGAAACATCTCCATCGCTTCTTCTCCCAGCTCATAAAACCGAATTTCTTCGGAGAAGATGTCCAAGGGCACGTTCACGGGCCGCCTCAAGCGGCCCCCAGACTGGTAGTAGTACAAAATGGCGTCAAAGCTGGGCCGGTTCCGGTCGAAAAAGTACTCGTTTCGGAGGGGGTCAAAGTACCTCATCCGCTTCTTTGGATCCCCTAAGAGGGTCTCTGGAAACTGAGCTAAGGTCTTGAGTTGGGTCTCAAAGCGCAGCCCCGAGATGTTGATTACCACTCTCTCACAGCACTCGTGGTCAGCCTCGGGGTCATACGTGTCCTGCGGGGGCCCGGGGAGGGCGGCAGCCTCATCCGCTGGCTCTCCGGTGGCCACTGTCATAATTGGGGCTGAGAGAAGGGCCTCACACTATGCCTTCCAGCTGCCTGGTGGCAGGGAGCTCAGGGTGCTGCTTCCGGCCCCAGGAAACACGGAAGCATTGGCCTGGGGTCCTGCAGGAGAGCCCCGAGGGCTCGCTGAGGACCAGAGACACAGCCTCCCTTGGCTGAAAGACAGAGGCAGTTAAGGCCGTGAGACCACTCAGCACTGGCAGCCCGACCTGGGTTGCTGCTCCTTGTCTCCTATCTTTGAGCCAAGAGCTCAGAAACATCACCACCACCACCACCACCAAAAAGCGAAACTTACCTTCACCTTGTGACCTGGCTGAGGATCAGAGGCAAGCAGGTGGCAGTCTCTCAAGAATGGTCCAGATTGCCCTGCGCTGGGGGAAGGTGATTGGTACAGGCCCCCTCTGCACCACACGGGCTTCAAGGAGCACAGCCCCATACTAGAGGCTGAAAGGGAGCCCTCTCCCAGGCACTGAACTAATGTCTTGCAAATACCTGCCCCCAGGGAGGTATTCACAGTGGTGGATCTTGGGCTTGGGTCTCCCTCACTGCCCCCACTCCAGTGACTCGACATATGGCTGTTATTAAAAATAGATTGATTTACCTGGCAAGGCAGAAACCTGGAGCTCTCTTCCTTGAAGAGCTGATCAGATACCGTGGGAATCCTAGATACACAAATAGGCAGCCCGATACACAAATCACGTCTTCTCACTTGAGCGAGAAATAATGGTGAGTCATTCTGGGCAGGAGGGCAGGCTCCAGGTCCTGGAGGTGAGCTCCAGAACTGCGCTGGCCTGGAGGGCCAGTGGAGGGTCTGGCCAGGGGAACGCGGGGCTCGAGGACGCAGAACTTGGGTCTGGAGCCTTTGGAAGGAAAGTGGCAAGATGCGAAGTCCTCCTGGCTGTCCTCAGGAGGTGTGACCTTGCCTGGAAAAAACAGCAGCAAGGTGGAACCAGGGCTTTTGGGTGGCAGGTGCCAAGATTTAGGAGGGCTCTGGCGGCTTTCCTTCCATGCCCACCTTCCATGCTGGTGTCACACTTGAGAACTACCCCTCAGCCTCCCCGCCTCCTCTAGGCAGGCTTCCATCAGCTGGAAGCTTTTTCTTCCACGGAAGGAGCCTTCAGGCTGGGCTGGGCCCGCCTCCTCGGGGGCCTGCCAGGGCTGAGCCACATCTCCCTCGGTCCTCAGCAGCCATCAGGAGGGACTCTAGGCAAAGCCCTCCAGCCCCCAGGTCGGGACGCTGCAACTCCCAAGGGGAGGGCTTCCTGCACTGCAGCCCGACTCTAAGCTCTGACCCCGGCAAGGTCCCGGAGGAGGAAGAACCCCTTCCCCCCACCCCCCACCTCCCCGACGCACACGCCTTCAGAGCCCATCTAGGGAGACTCCTCACACAGAAAGGTCGACTCTCCAAAAGCTGGCTGGCTTGCTCCCAAGACTTACTCTCCCTCGGGGATCCCCGGGGTGGAGGCTTCCCTCTGAGCAGGGTGGCATGTGATTTGGGCAGGCGCTCGACCACCGATTTCTCCCCCAAGAGAAAAGCCCTCACATCTCCTCGGCAGGGAGCGCAGAATGAACGCCCGGCCAGCCTGGCTGCCAAGCGGCTTGGCAGCAGCGAGAGGGGGAGCCTGGAGGAAGCCGGCTTCCGGGCTGGCCCCCTGCCGGCCCAATCCCGCCGGCCCCGGGGCAGGGAGGGGTCCCGGCCCTCTCCCCATCGCCCCGACTCCGGCCGGGATTCCGCCAGGCGCGCTCCGCGCTCGGTTCCGCGCCGGCGGACCGGACCCACCAGCAGCTGGCCGCCGCGGCGAGCGCCGCCTTAACCCCTTCCTGCCCGGCCGCTGCGGGCCCGAGCGCAGCCCGGCTCTCTCGCCCCTGGGGTCCATCTCCACCCGAAAACCCGGGAGCCCGAACTCTGGGGATAGGGAGGAGGGTGCTGCCCCCAGAGCTCCGCTTCCTCCTAAGCGCGGGGGCTCCGCCGCAGCGCACGGCCCCGGGGAAGCGGAAAAGCTCCGCTCCGCCCCGCCGCAAAGCCGTTTTGGTTCGGAGCCGGAGAGCGGAATGCAGGCCGGCGTCCCAAGTGATTCGGGTCCTACCAACCGGCGCTATTCACCAGACCCGGTTCTGCCCGTCAGCTGCACTTCCCATCACCCGCCAGCGCCTCGCTGCGCCCTCCGCCCGCGCGGTGCGCAGCCCAAGGGTCCCGAGCCCATTCCGTGCCCTCTCCTTCCGCAGGGCGCCAGCCCCCCTCGCCTGGCCCGGACTCAGCCCGAGCCCGCCGCGCTGCAGGCTGCGCCGCCCGGTG